CTGTAATTTTGCTAGGTTACTCCATGAACTTTTGTTTCAGAATGTTGGGGGTGTGTGTGGGTGTGGGTGTGGGTGTGGGTGTGGCTGTGGGTGTGGGTGTGGCTGAAGAGAGTACCTATACCCACACCACCCACACCCACACCCACACCACCCACACCAACACCCACACACCCACACCCACAAACCCACACCCACACACTCACATCCCACCAGCCACACCCACACCCACAAACCCACACCCACACACTCACACCCCACCACCCACACCCACAAACCCACACCCACACACTCACACTCCACCACCCACACCCAGCTTTCTTGGTGTCAGCATAGATGTGGGTATGCGTGTGTGAGTGTTACTCTTCTTCTTACAAATGAGAGTAGGATAATAAAATCCATTCGGAGAAATTCATTTGAGAAAAATCAAGGAAAAAAACCGACTCTGATGAGTTTATAGGACTGAAAAACGTTGAACACGATGATTTCCCCAATCGGAGACGTACAGATTGCAATTACTATCGAAGGATAAAGCAACAGGACCATTGAGCTGATCAGGTCCTGGTCCCGAACCATTTCCGCCCACAATGACAGTACCCTGTGTGGCTCCTTTAGGCCAACGCATGACTCGATTATTCCATGCATCTGCCACATAGAGAGTACCTAACGCATCGATGTACAGCCCATTAGGACCATTTAATTGTGACGGGGCATTTCCATAGCTTTGACTTCCAGCAACGATAATTCCTTTTGTTGCACCTTTCTTCCACTTCATCACACGATGATTATAGTAGTCCGACACATACACTGTCTGTTGTCGATCGACAAAGATGTACACCGGTTCATTAAGTTGATGGAGATCGGCACCTTCGCCATGACCACCCGCTACGAGAGTTCCAATCTTGTCTCCTACTTGATACCGTCGAACTTCATGTTTGTTTGTGTCGGAGACGTAGAAATTTCTCTGATGATCCACGGCTAATCCCCAACAGTCGATGTTATCGATGAGGATTTCTCCTTGAGTATCACCACTACGACGAGACCGTCTTAAGACTCGTCGATTGTCACGATCGCAGATAATGAGACTATCATTCTCATTATCAACCAGGACATCAGTTGGACATTTCAGTTGATCCAATCGATCTCCTTCGTTATGACTACCAGCTACGACGTGTCCAGTCGTATCGCCCAACCTCCATTGGACGACGCGATGATTCCCTAGATCAGCGATGACTATTGTTTGATCATAGTCAACGAAGAGACCATGGGGGTACTTGAGTTGTTTGGTGGTGTTACCGTCTCCGTGACCCCCAGCAAGAGTCACACCATTCTGCATCCATTTTGCATTCACTGGAATACTAAGAGTAACTAAAAATAAACCAATGAATAAAAAGAATATCAGGCTTCTTTATGCCTCTTCACAAATAGTCCTCACGAAACAAAAGAGTTTTTAGTTCTCAACATTGAACTTTTAAAAGTCAAGCATTTAGGCGTTTTAAAAAGAATGATTAGTTTCACTCTTATTTAAAAATTATTTTAATCTATAGAGTTCACTACTAGACATCATTGTTATGAAATAACTCTGGTATAGAAAAATTCATGGAAAAATGTAAGACTATTGTATTCGACCAGAAGGTAATAGGAAGCTAATCTTCTCTGTATTAAACAGAACTTCGTTATTAACAGAAAAATTAATTCCATTTCTCTAAAACTTCTGGAAACGACGATCTATGAAGTCTTCTTTCATAAGTTATATAGAAATTTATGTAGGCTTTTGCTGTACACCTGAATGATTAACACACTTGATGGCTATCATTTTCACAAGCAACTAGACGACAATCAAGTAAGCTAGATTGCACTTCTCACGAACAACAAGAATATGTACAAAAATTGTACTAAAGAAAATTTTGATAGAAAAAGGTAGGTTTTATTTTAATTCACAGACACATTCGTTTGATTGCATATAAAATGTGCTTAGTTTTTGGAAAATGTTTAGTCTGTATTTCAGGAGCTCTTTACAAAATTATATTCTGATACTACTATAGTATAAGAATAAAAATCTACGAAGATGCAAGCGTGGGCATGAATGCATGAGTAGATGTCCGTACATCCACTCACACTACGACCACAAGAAGTACCATAATGTGTAATCAAAAATTTGGAATCCCTGATTGAGTACAATAGAATATGGCTTATGCGGGCTGACTCTTAAAATATATTGAAGCTATCTCCCTCGAGACAAAAGCTTTTTAAAAGAATTTTTTACCAGAATACTTAGAATAAAAATCTCTATAATGATGGAAAATTTCAATAAATTCGGTAGTTCTTTTATAGTCATGCATGGAACTCAATGGGGTGTCATAAACGAAAAATGGACTTTTTCACGCCATCTTATTTCAAAGATTCTTAAGAAGCGGGATGAACTAGATGTATTAGGGTGTTTCCACGCAGGTCCGCCCACGTTTACATCGACTTTCTGCCGGCAAGATTTCACTATGTTAGTTTTTGTAGCCCTCATCGAGTTATGTAAGAACTGATATTCAGTTTTGATTCAAATCGCGCGCTAACTTCAGTAAAGTAGGCTGAAAAGTCGATTTTACCGAAAATAGACCCCCCAAAATCAGTCTGTTTTATTTTTCATGAACATTCTTTAGAAATTTTGATTTGACCATTGAATAGAGCATAAAAAGTTGTCTATATAAAATAATTTTCAAAACTATATCTTAAGAACTCATTGTTTGGGAGCATTTACAAAATTGAGAAAAATGGCACTTCATGCTAAAATTGTAATGTTTATAAAATTTATACAGTCAGCTAAAGATCCTAACATATTATGATTCAAATGAAGCTTATACTATGCTTATTCAAACGTGATATGCTGGAGTTTTTGAAAGTTTTCATCGCTTCAGATAGATGGATCCGAAGACTCAACGAGTCTTAAAAAAGCTCACATTGAGCCTCGATTTTCTCAAAAACTGCACGTCAGAATTTCTTGAAATTTTTTTTTCCGAATAGACATAAGTGAACACTACTAGTGATTAAAATATTAGACTTCCCATTTCAGGATTTTAGGAGATGGAGCTCTTCCAAGTTAGCTTAAATTTCAGTACTTTTCAAAAGATCCCTTTGGAGGACCTCAGGTAGTCGAAAAATCCAATTTTCGAATTTTGACCCGGAACTTTGCGTATACAGAGGGCGCAGCTAGACTAGCTTGCACATAAAAATTCAGAAGTTTTGAACCAAGTCTCGTCAAGATATGAAGCTTCATCGTTAGAAAAGGACTTCTATGGGAGAAGGTCCATATCTTCGAAAAACTTTGTTCGAAACTTCTGAATTTTTATGTGCAAGCTCGCCTAGTAGAGGCTTCTATGTACGCAAAGTTTCGGGTCGAAATTCGAAAACTGGATTTTTCGACTACCTGAGGTCCTCCAAAGGGATCTTTTGAAAAGTACTGAAATCTAAGCTAAATTGAAAGAGCTCTATCTCCTACACTTCTGAAATGGAAAGTCTAATATTTTAAACACTAATAGAGTCCACTTAGGTCTATTCAGAAAAAAAAATTTCAAGAAATTCTGAGGGGTGGGGGTGGGTGTGGGTGATGGTGTGGATGTGGATGTGGATGTGGATGTGGATGTGGGTGTGGATGTGGATGTGGATGTGGATGTGGGGTGTGACTATGGGGTGTGGGATGTGGATGTGGATATAAATGATGGAAATACTCATACCCACACCCACACCCTTTTTTATATACATGTATAGTATTAAGTTAGTAGATTATGTACATCATTAGATCAGCTCACTCATAATGCTCATATATAGATTGAGTCGATGCAAGATTATGTGAAGAGGGCAAAAATAGCAAAAACAGCTTATTTTCAAGTATGTTGTTAAACATTACAAAACGATGATTAGCCATTAATCATAGTGAGTATGGCTGTGGGTGTGGGGATGGGTATAGGTGTGTGGGGGTGGATATGGGTTAGGTGTGGGTGTGGGTGTAGGTATGGGTATGAGTATTTCCATCATTTATACCCACACCCACACCCACATCCACATCCACACCCACCCACACCCACCCACACCCACACCCACATCCACACCCACACCCACACCCACACCCACACCCACACCCACACCCACACCCACACCTACACCCACACCCACACCCACACCCACACCCACACCCACTCACACCCGCACCCTCTGTGGCGGGTACTGGGTTTCTCTGTCACGATCTGTGATGGGTATGTATTTTCTCTGTCACGGTCTGTGATGGCCTTTGGAGCCCCTCTATTACGGTCTGTGATGGCCTTTGGAGCCCCTCTGTCACGGTCTGTGATGGCCTTTGGAGCCCTCTGTCACGGTCTGTGATGGCCTTTGGAGCCCCTCTGTCACGGTCTGTGATGGTCTTTGGAGCCCCTCTGTCACGGTCTGTGATGGCCTTTGGAGCCCCTCTGTCACGGTCTGTGATGGGTATTGGATTTCTCTGTCACAGTCTGTGATGGTCTTTGGAGCTCCTCTGTCACGGTCTGTGATGGGTAAGGATTTTCTCTGTCACGGTCTATGGGGGGAGGGGGGATCCAAATTTCTACCCTATACACTTCAACACTCCTTTTAGATCGTGTTTCACAAAATATTTATCCTCAAAGTCGTCTCCTTACCTAAATTCATATTCTTAAATTGCTGTGTGATTGATGTTGTCACTGAAGCACTTGCAGCTGCTGATTCACTTGGGCTTTCTTGTTTTTCATTATCGTCATCGTCAATAATTTCTTTCAGATGTATGATATGTAAACCGCCTTGGTGATGTAGTGGGTCTGCAACAACTTCGAAAACTGTGCCTGGCATTAAAATAACTTCGCTTTCATTTGGATAGCATGTGTATGCTGATATCGACCTTCCAGTTACACAGTCGATATAAAATAGTGTGCTCTGAGCAACTTTGCCAAGAAATCCGGAAATAATATCCACGGATGCTGAACATGAGCTTATGCTCCACCAAGTTATTGTTTGACCTTTATTAAATGTCTGACTAACGTCTTTATTAACTCCACGCCAGACAGTACCTTTGAATGTTGGTAATTTTGATGTCGCAGAATCCAAAAGTTTAAGATATGCAAACCATGGACGAACTTTGGAACGGTCTTCAGCACGCAACATTTGATTTAGAATACGATAGACACATGCATCCTCTGACATTTCCATCGTGTAAAGATAAATACTGGCCGCTTCATCCTTGCTTAGATTATGCTTATTTGGAAATGTACAATGCCTCTTGGCCATTTTTACGTATCGGTTGATATCTGACAGAAGATCATGAAGACCATTCATAGCTTCTTCAAGCGATAGCAACTTCCACGAAAAGTATCCATAACATGCTGGTAAACGTTTGTTTATTGTTTCAACATCGGTATAGCGTTCTCCTGAACTATTCATTGTTGTGAACCGACGTTTTGTTGTATTTTATTGCTATACAAGACATTTGATTTTATAAAAGAAAAAAGAGTAAAAGAAAACATGCGAAAGATATCTGTAACTTTTCTCTATCTAAGTCAGAATCAACCCACATTATGTGAGTATACGAAGAACCATCTTTAATAACGGACTCAATGCCGTCAAATGTAAATGATACCTAACTTTTCAAACTTTTCTATCTTCTTTCATTCTCATTATGCTTCTATAGTCAAAATCAATTGAAACCTCAATCTATGAGAAAAATGTTTGTCCTTGAGGTGTGGGTGGATGTGGGTGGGTGTGAGTGTGGGTGTGGGTGGGTGTGGGTGTGGGTGTGGGGTGGGTGTGAGTGTGTTGGGGTGTATCTTATAATTACCCTCGCCTCCAACCCATACCTCCAACCCACACCCACCCACACCCTAATTATCCATGTAGTTTCATTACGTGACAAAAAATTGTTCAATTAAAAGAATCGAGTACAAACGTTCATCAAATCGATAGATGAGGTAGCTTTTTCTTTCAAAGTTATTATATCTTCAAACCTACTATGTTGACTGGGACGATGGACATTTTTAAGAACGTCAGGTGAATAAATTCTGTAGCATTTAATAACACAGCAATAGACTCTTTCAGCGAGTATAAGAATAGCGTAAATCTTTAGAAGGGATTTGATTTGTCTGATGTATTTGAAAGGTGACTTTCGTTTCTTCAGTCAATTTATTACGTTGAATGGATGTGATTGCACTTGAAGGAGACCACGAATACAGTGGCCATCACAAGTATTTAATTAGATAGAATTTTCATAATATTTGTGACGATGGCAGCAAGTAAAAGGAATGAAAAATTGCTAGTAAAACAAAGAGAACAATTTAGTACAGGTAACTGAGAGAAAAGAATAAATTGATTCTACTTCACTGCAGCAAGGAATTTTCCTGAAAATAGAAACACTAAGTATTTAATAGCTATAGTTCGTCAAGAGTAGTTTGTTTTCACTATGTAGATTGATCACAGCAAATACTTTTCAAAAACAGCAGATATAGCAAAATTCTTTTACGATGTTTATTAACCGAAATAGGATGCAGGTGCTGGTGTAGACGCGACTAGATGTAAGTGTATAATGTAGAAACAAGCACACTCATAGCGACCAACTATTTTCGAATGTTTCAATAAACAGATGATTATCGCTGATGCTAACTCACCGAATGGATGCTTTTTAATTTCTTTTTGTGCTTTCCTCCGCTGTCAATGAGTTTCTAACTTTATTCAATAAAATTTTATTGCTAGCATCAAGATAGAGAAGGATTAACATGGAACTAACCGTTTTAGCGATATTTGTCAGTTTATGCACACTTTAGAAGACAACCAGTTAAAATTCGCCAATTGCAGATGGTATCAAGATATACTGTGGTGATGAAAACAGCCGTTGCGATAAAAAGCTGAAGGTGAAAGAAAATGGCGCATGTTGAATGTTATCTAATCATAAACAGTTCTTTATCAGCATCGACTCGGTGAAAGAACGGAAGAAAGAAAGACGATTGCCACTCGCTTTAGCAGTTCATTTTTTCTTTCTTCCTCAGATGTATTTCTTACCTGTTTTTCTACTCAGCAGAGAAAAGAATGAATATTTACAATGGTCGCCTTGCCGCAATTTACTGACGAGATATAAAACAATGGCAGTGTTATGGTTGTTGCACGTATGGGCATGAAAGAGTATGAGTGTGAGATGTGTCAAAGCAAGCCATGACTCATTTCGACCTTGCTAAAGGGTCTTCTTAGATGGCTCAAGAGCTGAAAAGTATGGGAAGTCAGGTGATCTTGGTTCGTGCTGGTCGTTTCAGGCTATCTGTTTGGAATGAGCTCCCTATCAGTCTTTGTTTTCGTTTAGTTCTAAATGCTACTGTTTTTGTCGAAAATTTGCTTGTACAGACGAACATTCGCAGGTTCTTTCAAGATCACGAGCTTGGTTTTGTGAAGCCATGGAATCGAGAACTTAGCTTTCGTTTTTGTGATGTATTGGGTTAGACGTATTCAAGTTCTTTTGGATTTTATCGCTGCTTGCTGTGTTTATTTAAATTTTCAAAAGTCATTGGTATAATATGGAAGCCCCTTACTCTAACAGGCAAAACTTTTCAAAAACGTGTTTAAACATATACAAAAAAATATAAAATCCTTGAAAAGTGGACGTTTTTTGCTCACGATTACGGTTCTCGACTGTAATTCAAAAGCATCCACTTTTGGAGGCCTTTGTGCGTTTACACGCTTCTTTCGCTGAAAGCACAGGTAACCGCATAAAAACCTCCAAAAGTGGGCGCTTTCGGCTTATAGTCGGGCACCGCAACTGTGAGCCAAAAGTATGCAATTTTCGAGAATTTTTGGGGTGGGTGTGGGTGTGGGTGTGGGCGTAGGTGTGCGTGTGGGTGTGGGCATAGATGTGCGTGTGAGTGTGGGTGTGGAGTGTGGGTGGGGTGTGGGTGGGGTGTGGATGTGGGTGTTCACTTTGCTAATACTCACCCCCCACCCCTAAACTCTCTAGCCACACCCACACTCACATCTCACCCCATAGTTTCAGTGTTTCTTTTCAGTCAGATATATGCCAGTTTGTAGAGCTCGATGAGCTAATTAGGATTTCCAAAACTGTCCACTCTTATAGACTGGGGGGCACTTTGGCCAACATTTTGCGAAATCGAGAACGGATGCAGTTTAACGAAAACGATCCTGTATAATATCGTTATTTTCTACTATTCGTTTTATTTAACATGCTGTCTTGCATTTCCGACTTTAGCCATAATTATGGCGTAATCATGATGAAACATATAACACGTATCCAAACTAGAGAATTATTTTTTAATGTGAAATCTCTGTAATTTTGTCGAGTTGGTTCTGGTATGATTCCATAGATCTCTATGAGTTCTCTCTGGCGCTACTATATGTATCATGTAATAATGCCTACATGAGTCGTCGAATAGCGTCCAGAATTACTGCACACTAAAATAAAATGTGCCGCATTATATGTCGCATGTGTCGCAACGAGTACCTCGTGTCGTATTTCTTGCGTATGTCGCTGGATATATAGCAATATCTATAACGAAGAACGCAAGAAATACGGCACGAGGTGCTCGTTGCGACACATGCGACACATTTTATTTTACAGTGTGGGTGTGGGTGTATGTGATTAAAGACAAAAGGAACACCCACACCCACCCTAAATCCACACCCGACTCACACCCACACATCCACACCCACACTCACACACTCACACTCACACACTCACACACTCACACACTCACACTCACACACCCACACTCACACACCCACACCCACACACCCACACCCACACCCACACCCACACCCACACCCACACCCACATCCACACCCACACCGACACCCACACCCACACCCACACCCACACCCACACCCACACCCACACCCACACCCACACCCACACCCACACCCACACCCACACCCACACCCATTCTCTCAACTTTGCAGCGTTGATGTACGTTCTTTTCAAAAAACCTTCTAGCAATAGAGTTTAACAGTTGGTATGATTAATGCACGGCCGCCCAATTACCGCCTTCCAAGATTTCTTCGACAACGCGGGCGGCACACAACTCTGTCGCAAAGTATTATACGCATGCGACGCGCTTTCATTTAGGATGTATACACGACGTCACTATTCTAAGACAACGAAAATGAATGATTATTTCGTGTCCGTTATTTTCATTTTAAAACGAACGGAGATTCTCTTAGATTACGACAACATATGTCTTTAGAGTGTGGGTGTGGGTGTGTGGGTGTGGGTGGGGTATGGATGGGAATCTACTTAATACAATCCCATCCACCCCACTCACGCACCACATCCACCCACACCCTCAACTGAAGCAGGATTTTAGAATAATGTCATTGTCAGTATTATCTAATTTCGACGTTATTATCAAACCTGTCAAAAACATGCAATGTCTAATTCAATTGAGAGATGATTTTAGAATAGTATCATGCTGAGTATTATTTGATTTAGATTTTATTATCCAGCCTATGAAAAAGAGGGAATTTCTAATGCAATTGAAACATGATTCGGAAATAATTTCGTCTTGAATATTATTAGATTTTGGCGTTATTATGAAATGTATCAAAAACAAAAATGTAGTGCCTAGTTGAATTGAAGCATGATTTTAGAATAATTTCACCATGAGTTTTATTTGATTTTGATGTGGTTATCAAATCTACCAGAGACATGCATTTCCTAATTCAATTGAAACGTGATTTTAGAACAATTTCATGCTGAGTATTAGTTGATTTTGATGTCATTATGGAATCTATAAAAAATGCGCAATTTCTCATTGAATTCAAACATGAGTTTTGAATAATTTCATCTTCAGTAGTATTTCATTTTGATGCCATTATCGAACGTATGAAAAGATGCAATTTCTAATTCTAATGAAGCATGATTTTAGAAGAATCTCATGATTAGGATCATTTAATTTCGATATGATTATCAAATCTATCAAAAGCGTGGAATTTGTAATTCAATTCAAACATATTTTTAGCATAAAGTTATGCTGAGTATTGTTTGATTTTTATGTCATTATCAATTCTATGAGAACGTTGAATTTCGAATTGATTTGGAACATGATTTTAGAATAATTTCATGATGAGTATTGTTTGGTTACGATGTCATTATCAAATCTATGAATAACATGCAAATT